GACCGTGGGGTGGCGGAAGAGGGGAGGCCGGCCCAGGAAACCCGGGTCGGGTAGGGGTTGGGGTCCCTGCGGACTGAGGTCGTGAGCCTGGGGGCGGGGCGAGGTGGGGGCGGGGAGCACCCGGCACCCGGACGTCAGGCTGACGTGGAATCGGCCTGGAAGGGTTCTTAGGTTCTTAGGGGTCACTTGGAAAAGTCAACGCCCTGCACTTTGTAAAGGAGACAGCAGTCAGGGATGAAGTCCGTCCAAGGTCGTGCTGAGTGCGGCTGGAGGCAACACCTCTGCTCTGCCTGCCCCTTCTACCCACGCTCCGCCGCTGTGCGGGGGACTCCGGGTCCCAGAGTCACCCAGGAGGGGACTGGGAGGCCGGTACCTTGGGGGACGGCTGCCGGGTCTCAATTGCCCGCAGGTCCTTGTCCAGCTCCGCGCTCAGCTTGGCCAGCTCTCTCTCCAGCAAGACCTGGGGGAGGATTATGGGGAGAGACTTGGGCAGGTGAGGGGGGGTGTGGAGGGCACAGTGGGGGAGCACTGATCGAAGGTCAGATGCGAGAAACTTAGTGGGCAGCAGGACAAAGCAAAGCACACTGTGCTTGGGTAAAGGGCAGGCTCAGGGCACAGGGCCAGGACAGGCTCCCTGCCTGTGGGCCTGCCCAGAGCTGTGTCTCAGGGTGTCAGGACGGCCCTTCCACAGCTTCTCACTGGCCCTCTCATGGGGCCAGCTCACCCATCCCGACGCCCATGATGGTACCTTAGCACTTCCTGATAGTGCCTTTTGTCCTGTTACTTTGCTGTTCAAGAGCCCATAAAGCTCCCGACTTCCTCTCTCATCAAGTCTTCTATGGCTTTCCACAGCCTGTACCCTACCTGCTTTCCTTTCCACTGCCCCTCCAGCCTTTGTCTCTGCACTCCCCCCCACTGAGCACGTGCTCTCTCTCTCTGCCTGGCCAAGCCCTCCCAGCTCCACTTCCAAGAATACAAGTCCACACTGACCACTCCCTTCTCTGCTCCCATTTTGGTCAAGAGACATGTATTCAACACATATTTGAGTGCGTATTGTATGCCAGGCACTGTCCCAGGTGCTGGGGATACAGAGGTAAACTGTACGGGACCGGAGAGGGTCAGAGCTTTGGGTCTCCGGCCTCCGCGCGTGGTCACTGGGGCCAACACCACCCAGAAGTCTCCCTCATTTGTCCGGGAGCATAGCTATCTCCCTCCCCCTCCAACCTATCCTGCAGCACTCACCTCAATGGGCGGGGAGGGCTTCTCAACAGCATCATCCACCAGCGGTTTCTTGGGCTAAGGGTGGGAAGGGTGAGTCAGTGGGGGAGGATTCCAAAATGCACTAACCAAGGAGTATGTGCACTCTCAGAGGGCCAGCAGGACACTTACCTTCTGTCCAGTCTCTAGTTCTTGCAGGAACTGGTTCCAAGAATCTTCCGTCCAGACATTGTCTGCTTTCTCTTGGCGTCTGGGCACCTGCATGGAAGTAGGTGGGCATCAGCTTGAGCAGAGGAGTACCAGGACACTATTCAGGCTCCAAGAGCAGGCTTGTAGGCCACTGCCTCACCCCTCTGCCTGCCAGTGCCTTCCTAAGGATTCTGGGCTCTCCTGGCTGCACAGGACAGGCTCCAAACCGAAAGGGCATTATCCTACTCTTCAGCAGAGGGGCCTGGTCAAAGAGCACAGTGCCAGGGGCAGTGAGGGGAGGATGCTGGGAAGGGTACCTGATTTGGGGTCTGGTGTAGGGAGGATGCTCCAGGATTACAGTTGAAGGTGCTTCTAGGAACCTCTTCAGAGGGGCCCCAGCTTCTTCTAAAGAAAGGGGAGGACATCTCTTCAGTTTCCTTTTAGGGAAACTAAGGCATAAGTGAGAACACAGCCCTGCACATGCTACCCCGACCCCCTGCCCCCTGCTACTGGCTCCAGCCTGTGAAAACAGTGTTACACAGTGGAGAGTTATGCGCTCGGAGTTCAAGTACCAGCTCCATCACTTAGCTGGGGTCTTTTGGCAAGTTCCTGAGCTCTCAGAGCCTCAGATTCAATACCTGTAATATGAGAAGGAGTCCCACCTTCGTGAGGGTGCGGTGAAGCTCAGGTGAGAGAACATATGTGAGATGCCCAGGAGAAGGCCTAACACATGCATCTGCTCCGTGAGTGGCCAGTCCCTTCCTACTGGCCTTAGTGAAATACCCTACATGCATGTTCAGTCTGGCCCCACGGCTGTGGCTATGTATGTTTGTGCAGCTTTGACGAAGCTGGTCTTCCAGGTTGTCGCAGTCGAGTGGTCTTGCACACATGCCCAAAGGTGTGGGTGGGTCTACATCCTAGTCCGAGGAGACCCCTGGGCAGGGCAAAGGGCCTGCAGCCCTGACTCGGGAGCCCTGGGCAAGCTGTTTTTGCTCCCTGTGCCTCAGTTCCCTGGGGGTGCTGCATTCAGTGATGTCATCTGTGAAACCACTCCAGCCACCAAGGCTCCACACTGTCACATTTGCCTTCGTTCCCCTCCAGGGCTCTTTTCTTGGCTGGCTTAAATGTTCCAGACTCTGTTGAGTCTGAATGTTTCCACCACTGTACCAAGATTATCAAATGATGGAATGTCTGACCAGAGGGTCAGGATTTATTGGCTGTAACTATGACTCTATTCTCTATTTTAGAAACAATAATATTAGTAATACCACTGATAATGAGAATAGAATACATCGTTCTTAATTTAGGGAAGCTCTAGTCATAGTTGAGCCTGTATATTAGTAATATTCGTGGAGGGGCGCCTGGGTGGCTCAGTTGGTTAAGTGTCTGCCTTCGGCTCAGGTCATGATCCTGGAGTCCCGGGATCGAGTCCCACATCGGGCTCCCTGCTCGGCGGGGAGCCTGCTTCTCCCTCTGCCTCTGCTCCTCTCCCACTGCTCCTCTCCCCACTCATGCTCGTACTCTCTCTCTGTGTCTCTCTCTCAAAAAAATAAATAAAATCTTTAAAAAATAATAACACGTAGAGACTTGCTATGTGCCTAAACCCTAACAACCATGGTGTGGTCCCCACTCAGCAGATAGCTGAGACTGGTTAAGTTGCCCAAGGTCACATGGCTAGTGGCAGCGCACCAGCTTGAATCCGAACTCTGTGTTCAAATCTTGAGCTCTTAGCCTCTATCTTATTAATGATGCCAAGAGCCACAGGCCAGGTATGGCCACGTTCTTGAGGTTAATCCCTTCCTGTAAAGGAATAAGAAACTCGTTGATTTCACTTTGAGGCAAACCTGCTGATTCTCAAGCTCTGGTTGAGCCCCCTGCCCAGGACCCCGGCAGCCTGGGCTGGGCTTGTGTGGTTTGTGCAGAGCGAAGGGATACATCCTTCACTTATATGGAAGTGGGAGGAAAGTCGGATCCTCTTGGGAGGAAAGTTAGGATCTTCTACACTCCTTGTTTTCTCTCAGGCTTTGGAGTGAATGGCCACAGGTCCACGCCTAGCCATGGGCCACCCCACTCTTCACCCCATTATGACCTGTGGATCTTTGGCATGATGAGTTCCTGCCGCCAACCACAAAAGCAACGCAGGCATTCCTGACCAGGAATGGGTGCAAAGTCCACCCCTGCCCACCATTCCCCTTTGGCCCCGGCAGGGAGAGAGAGAATATCTGGAATGGTGGGAACCCTAAGAAGGAGCAGAGCGGTGAGATGGGGTGGGGGGAGAGGCTGTACTGTCTGTGGCCACCAGGGGGTGCCAGTCCCCACCAGGAAGCCAGTTTCCCTCTGCAGCCCTCGGGCCCCTTTCCCAGGAGGACTCACCCAGTCAGAGAAGAGGCCTGGCCTGGCCTGGCCACCGGTCTTTGCTGGGGCCCTGGATGCCTGGAGTCCGTAGAGGCGGCACAGGAGGAAGCCACTGAAGGTGGGAGAAGACAGGCCAGGGGAGGCGAGAGCTGAGCTTGAGGGTACCTGGGTGAGCACTGAAGATTCTGGCACCCACTCCCACACATGCTCTTGGGTGGCTTGTGGGAACAGGGTGGGGGTGCTCTGGACCATGCTATGGGGGCTTTGCACCAAAAGCTTTACACTCTTCGCTAAATCTTCACAACTCTGGGGTAGGTAGTGTCCCCATTTTACAGATGAGGAGAGCAAAGCCCAGAGAAATCACAGCCAGGGCGAAGACTCACTGGACAGTGAAGCCGAGGCTCTTCATTGCCACCTACCAGGGAATTTGGAGCTCACCGGAAATGGGCTATGCGATCTTCTCAAGTTGAACTAAGCCAACTGGGGAGCCTCAAAGCCAGGCATGGCTTACAAGATGGGCAAATACAGGCACTGAGCTGGGGCGGGCCACCCGCCCCCCCTCACCTTTGGGTGATTCCTCAAAGGTCCAGTCCAGCTGCAGGTCTGCGGGAGCAGAAAGGACCAGATCAGGGGTGGGGCAGCAAGCGAGGATGGCGAGCCCCGTGAGGCTGCCTCAGCGGCTCCCAACCGTCCTCCTGCCTAGGGCAGGGGACGAGGGGCTGAGTCAGGGCCTGAAGAATGTCCCGAGGGAGGGAAGGAATTAGGAGGGCAGTTCTCTGGAGGGTTTGAAATGCCTCTGGCAGACTTAGGGCCTGAGTGAGCCAACCCAGGCAGTGGACTTGCCCAAACCCTCCTGCTCCTCCCTCCCTGCGTTCCCACACACACCCTTTCCCTGACCTTTGTAAACCGGCCCTCACCAAGTCAGGTTGGGGAAATTCCACTTCTCCTTCTCCCTCTTTCCCTTTCTGCACCCTCTTCTCAATGCTGGTCCTTCCCCCTTTGCCCAGATCCACTCCTCATGGTGCTCATGACTTTCCGGGGCCTCCTAGGAAAAGCTACTGACCCACCAACCCACTTGATCCCCTTGGCATGCAGACGTGCCACAACAGCACTTGTCTTAAATGCAGACCAAAATGCCTCTCTCCAGATCCCATACCGTCCTCCAGCTCCAGGACTGTTTTGTTTTCCTTTGCAGCAAAGAGTTGGCCATAACAAATTCACTGTCTTCAATTCCCCTTTTCCATAAGTAAATTTTCAGCCCCACCACGATTGCCCCAATCACTCTTAAGAAAGATGCCAGTGACCTCCATGTTATCAAATCAAAATACTTGACCCATCAGCAACATCTGTCACAGTGGATCATTCCTCCTTGAAATTCCTTTTTCATGTCGCTTCAGGAAGACAACTCTGGTTCTCCTCTCTGCTGTACCTTCTTAGTCTGTTTGGCTGACTGTTTGGCTCATCTCTCAAACCTCTACACATCCAAGTGCCTCAGGGCTTAATGCTTGGACCTCTGTCTATCTCCCCAGGTGATCCTGTCTAGTCTTCTGGCTTAAAAAACCCCATCTATTGCAGGGATTCACATCAGAATTAGTTGGGGAGCTTTCAATCAAAATCTTTTTGAGTGAATCCCAGGTATTTCCATCTGCAGCTTAAGCCTCACCCCTGAACTACAGACTTGCATATTAACTGCCTACTTGACATCTCCAACCAGATGGACCTCATCGAAAACTGAATGCCTCTTAGACCGTACCTCCCTCAGTCCTCCCTGAATTTGGAAGCAACATCCTTTGACTTGCTCAGGTTTCAAGTCATCCTTGACTTCTTTTATTCATGCCACATCCACTCTATCAGCAAATTCTCATGACTGTCTCCAGAATCCCACCAGGCCCGCTGCTACTGCCCTGGTCTGAGATACTGTTGGCCTCTAGCCTGGATGAAAGCCAGGCCCCCTAAGTGGTCTGCTGTGTCCTTCACTGCCTCATCTCCCACCCAAGCTGGCAGCCAGAGTGAGCCTTCAGAGCATGTCACTCTTCTGTGCTCAGAACCTCCCCTTGGCTCCTTAGCTCTTGCAGAGTAAAAGCCAAAGCCCTGATCAGGGCCCCAAAGGCCCTCCGTGACCAGATCCCGTCACTCTGACTCTGTCTCCCAGCAATGCCCCTCTCACTCCAGTCCAGCCTCTTCTTGCTGCTCCAGAACTGGCCAGGTCTGCTCCTGCCCCTGGGTCTCTGCTGTTTCCCCTGCTGCCAGGCTCCTCGCCTGGCTCTGTAGGGCTGGCTCCTTCCCTCCCTCAGCTCTCGGCTCACATGCCACCTATCAGGGCCTTCCCTCACCAGCCTGCACTGGGCACTGACCTTTCCTTTTTCTCCCTTGCCCTTACCACCATCTGCCATATTAAATATGTATCTGTTTATTCTCCCTCTGTCTTAAGCTTCACTGGAGAAGTGACATTCTTTTTTATTCCCTGTTTCATCTTCAGCACCTAGAATAGTGCTCGGCACACAGTAAGTGCTCAATAGATGGTCAGGGGACTGATTGAACAAATGAGTGACTGCATGGCTTCCCAGTACTCTCAGAGGAGATGAGGGACAGTGTGTCATCATTGTCCTCCCAAGGACAGAAAAGAGTTTGGAGGGCACCTGGGTGGCTCAGTTGGTTGAGCAACTGCCTTCGGCTCAGGTCATGATCCTGGAGTCCCGGGATCGAGTCCCGCATCGGGCTCCCTGCTCAGCAGGGAGTCTGCTTCTCCCTCTGACCCTCTCCCCTCTCGTGCTCTCTATCTCTCATTCTCTCTCTCTCAAATAAATAAATAAAATCTTTAAAAAGAAAAGAAAAGAGTTTGGAGACTCCTCCCCTTTGTCCTATTTTAGGGAGGACCCACCACAGAGCCTGGGGTGGGTGGAGAAGACCTCCCAGAGAGGCTAAGTTCCCTTTTCTGCCCCTCCGTACCCCAGCCCCAGGGGCTGGAGCCCACTCAGCAGAGACAGGGCCCTAGAAGGGTGTCTCACCTGGCATTTTCCGGTGAATCTGCTGGAACATTCTCCGGTACCAGTCCCTGGGGCTATCAACACTCTGGGATCAGAAAAGACAAAGTCAGGCCACCTTCTTAATAGGAAGCCACAGAAGTTTTTCCTTCCTGAGTCCTTTCTCTGGCCACCCTTGAAGTGGGCAGGCTGTTGTGATAGGTCTAATAAAGTAACTTCATATGGCACATTATATATGAATAAGGTGTAGAGAAGGATCTCCCTCAGTGGTGATCCATCCCGAGGCTGTAAGATTTGGGGTGATTTCTGTTTTTTCTCTTTGCTTTCCTATATCTCTGATGTTTCTACAACAAACATGTATTTCTATGTAATGACAAATAAATGCAATAATATAGGGGTAGAATGGCATTTCACAGCTGAGACTGAAAACAGCCCTGGGAGGTATGTTACCTACTTCAGTTTCAGATGCAGAACTGAAGGCAGGGGGCTGTAAGAAGGGCAGGGCCCTCGGAGCCTGGGCTCTGGATCCTTCCAAGCCTGCCACAGTGTGAGGGCATCTCACTCAGGACTCTGCCGGCTCATTCAGCCCAGTCATTCACTTAGCGGCTGTGCCAGGCCCTGGGGCTATGAACAGAGGGGCTCCCTGCCCGGGGCAGCCCTTACAGCAGGGACTCTGCACCTCTGAGAACCTGGGGGAGCATTCTAGACCTCCCTTTCCCCCACCCAGACCACTTGTGCAACTCAGACCACAAGAGCACTTGTAATTTATGTGGTTCCACCCAACATGGTGGAACCGCTGCTTTAGTCTGAAACGGTTTGGGTGCATTCTTGGTTGCTCCCACTTTAATTCACAGAAGTGGAGCTCAACGTTAGGTCCCTGGGCCCCATCATCAGTGGCCCCCCGCCCTGGACTCACAGATCGGGGGGCAATAGGCATGCCGCTCTCATCCACAGGCCCAATTCCCTCATATCTGACCCAGCGCTTGTCCCGATGCTTGCTGTCCCTGGTCCATGTGGCTGACCAGTTCTGGGGGTGCTGGGAGGCAGGGGTCTTCTGGCTCCCCGAGGGCTGGCTGCCAGGACCGGGCCAGGTCTGATACCAAGCAGGGTCTGTAGGGAATGAGCAGCAGAGCATTAGCAATGGGCAGGGGCCCCACCTGGGCTTGTTTGTCCCTTAGGTCTTCAGAACACTGATCCCGTGGGTTCAAAAGTTTCAACATCTTGTTTGTTTGACTTGATGAGACAGACTCTACGGCCTTCCCCATTCCCTGCAGGACCAGAGGCCTTTGTTTGTTTTTTAGTTAAAGTAAATGAAAATGGATTTTGTCTTGAGAAATCTGTGCCTGTGTCCGCCCTATCCTTTCCGAGGGCTGTCCTAAAAGCCTTCAGAATGAGGGCTGGGAATCATTACTTGCAGAGAATGCTGGGGACAATCCTAGCTGGGAAGGCAGCAGGGTGGCAGAAAAGACACTGGGCTTGAAGGGGGGGACAAAGAATTCAGACACCAACTCTACCACCTACTGACCGTGTGACCTGGGGCACAGTAAGCAACCTCTCGGTGCCTCTGTTTCCACTTCTGTAAAACGAGGGTAATCATGGCAAACATCCAGAGAGATCTGGTGTGTATGACCGTGCCCAGCACAGTGCCTGACACACAGTCACAAGGCTCTTGAAGAGGGACAGAAACTCATTCACCAGACATGGTGACTGTGTCCTCAACTTCCCCAGAACCTTCAGGCCCCAAGTCACCAGAGTTGCAGCAAAAGAGCGTCGGGGCTGGAAGGACCAGGGTCTGAATCTCAGCTCGGACTCGGACTGAACATCTCTGAGACTCTGGTTCCTTGCTGGGAAAAGTTTGATAATTGTACCTTATCTTTCTAGGACATCAAGGGATTAAATGAGAGAAGGCTTAGTGTGTCTTTTCAGTGTCCCGCATGTTCTAAGGGTTCAACAATTATTTGTTAAATGAATAAACTACTTGACACAGTGCCTGCCTCAGTGAGATGCTCAATAAAGGATGTCTGCCTCCTCAGGAAAGGGGTCCCCAGGGTTGACCTGCACCCAGGAGGTCCTGGGATCTTCTGGACTCCATGGCCCAGGCTGGGATGACTTGTAGGAGCCCAGGGGCTGACAGGCTCTCAGAGCTGCCTCTCCAAACTTCTGCTTGGCTGGTGAGTACAGACTTGTGCAGTTTGGCCCCCTGCTCTTTCTGCAGCCAACATATGCTCACGTTCCTCCACCCTTCCATCCCCAGTCCAAGCTATTCCCCAGCCTGCTAGAGGTCCCCGTGCCTCCCAAGGCAGTGTCCCCCTGCACACTTCCTTCCGCTGGCAGGGAAGGGATGCGTCAGCCTGCTCTCTCCCTCAGCAGATTTCACACTCACAGGCCATCAGTGTTCACACAGAGAAGGGCAGCTAGATGAGCTCAGAGGCCGGGGACCTTGATAGCCCTCCATGCCCCTCCTGCCCATCACAGGGTGGTGCCAGATGGCAGCGCCCAGGAGGCTCTGATCCCCTCACCCCCCGACATGGGGCTCCTGGAGCAGGTTTTCCTGAGCAGACCTACCTGGGTGCCGGGAAGCATCTCTCCTCTGGGGGACGTACCCCTTGCACACGGTCCTGGGCGCAGGGTCATGAAACTGGAAATTAAGGGTATTGGAGCCACCATTCCGGATCACAGGCACCTGTGGGGAGGGGCCAGGAGCTGCAGCTCAGGCCCGAAAGTTCCGCAGAAGGGTGGCAAGCGCAGACACAGTTTACCCCACGGTGAGGGCTGGAGGGCCAGCCAGACCCCTTTGCTGGTAGCCAGTGAGGCTCTCTAGAGCTGTCTTCTGCCACTTCCCTCCATTCCTTTAATCCTCCTGCTCCCTCACCTGTCCTTGGAGGTCCCCGTCCACCCTGGGCCCACAGGAACCCTCTCCTCACTGTCTCACTCACCCGTGCCCCCCGGGAGGACGACCCTCTGTGGGCCCGGAGATTGCCGGGGAGGAGGTGGTCCAGGCTGAGCCCAGCCGCGAGGTTGCAGGGTGGGGCCTGCATGCTTGGGTCAAGGTTGGGGGGCTCCGGGTGTGCCAGCTGCTCATCTGTGTGTCCTCTGTGTGGAAGGAAGGAGGAAGGGGAAGCCCTGCTGGGCTCAGCCGCCTGTGCCCTCTGGGCTCAACCTTGGGGGCGGGGAGGGGGCAGCGGTGGGGGAGCTCAAGGACCCAGGAAACAGGCCTCTGCGGGCCCTGGACTGCAGGCTGCCCAGCCGGCCCCCAGAGGCACAAAGGGCTGCTTGTTAGGCCTGGGCAGGAGCTCGGGGTGGGCGTGGGGGAGGGGAGGCTAGCGAGGAGGAGGGCGGCTGGCTGGGAGCAGGCCTGCTGGACAAAGCCTTGGACACACGGGCCCGCTCACTGCACAGTGTGGCCTGCTCCCCCAGAGGGAAGGCAGAGGGGACTGGGGCAGCTGGCTCAGGAGGGCCTGGGCATTCAGGACTTTGTTCCAGGCCCCTCTGCCTCCTCCAGTCCCTCCATGAGCATCTGCTTGCCAGCAGGCACAAGGCCTTACTTGGGCTGCGGGAGAGGCCCAGAACAACAGCAAGCACCCCCCCCCCCCGCCACTGCCCAGCAGGGCCAAGGTTATGGGAGGGGGAGAGTGTGGGGGCATTTCCAGGCAGAAGGAACCACTCCTTCTGAGCTCAAAGGAGTATCAGCTCCCTTCTTTGGCCTTCTTCCCTGGAACTGAAGCCTCAGAGGGCTCAGGGGGCCAGTGAGGGGTGGGATGGAAAGCAAAGCAGTGGATAGGAGCCAAGTGGGACTTGCTCATGGAGACGTGGTGCTGAGTGTCCCCCACCCCCACACACTTTTATACCTCCAGGCTGGTTTTGTTTTTTTAAAATTTTTTTAAAGTAATCTCTACACCCAACATGGGGCTTAAACTCACAACCCCAAGATTAAGTGTTGCACACTCTACCGGCTGAGCCAGCCAGGTGCTCCTATCCTCCAGAGGGCTTTTTTGAACAGAGGGTCTTCCTGGCAGCACTATGCCTGACTGGCCGGCCTGGTTCTTCTCTCCCATGCAAAGGTTACTCCAGGCACCCAGGAGATGGAGGTGGTCAGGCTGTCCAACAGGGCTTTTCTACCCTGCGGGCTGTGGTGCAGAACAGAGCCTCCTCACCTGTGCAGCTGGACTGGACCAGAGCTGAGCCAACCTCCACTGCTGGGGCCAGACCCATCCTGGCCTTTGTGTTTGGAGTTAGGCTTGCGTGTGCCTGTGGGGTTTGGGGGCTCACAAGAAGGCCCAGAGGGCCTGGTGAGGTGCTGTGTTTGTGTGTGGTGAAATGGGAGTACCCTGCTGTGAGTGTGACTTGTGGGAGGTACCACAGGGCTGGGAGGTATGTGAGCAGCTTGGGAGTTGTGGGTACAGAGGGATGTCAACTGAATGGTAGTGGGGGGTATGCAATGGGGGTTCATATGAGCAGCACAAGAACTGTGGAGACTAGAGGGGGTGAAGTTACAAAAGGGGGCTGTGATTACTTCTGTACCCAGTTCCTGCTCAGGCCACAAGGGCTGGAGGGTACAGACAAGGCTGATGACAGGTCCCTGTCTCTGTTCTGAGTGGGGATTTGAAAGACCTACTGGGGACATAGCTTTTCCATGCTCATCCCTGGCTGTGGGGGGGGGGGAGTGAGGGCTGGGGCTGGAGGAGGGGCTGCTCACCAGCTGGATCCAATTAGGACTCCGACCAAAAGCAAAACATGCGGACACACCCCAGTTCCTGCTGTTTTCCCTCCCCTTGAGGGGGAAATTGAGGCAGGGGAGAGCAGGAGATCCAGAGGCACGAGGCAGGCTGGTTCCTAGCAGCAACCCCTCCCTTCCCAGCTGACTGCTTGAAGCCAAGTTGCAAGGTCAGCATCAGCAGTCCCAACCATCAGCTGACCCCGGCCTCCTTCCCTCTCCTCCTGACCCCCCCTTCCCTGCTCAATGAGAACCGCCCTCTAGTAGTTTGGGGAGGACAGGATGTCCCCCCATACCATCCAATTTTCAGGGGTTACTGATCCTTGGTGGCCTAGCTTGCCCCTCCCCAACTGTTGCCTGTGGCAGGCAACCTCCAGAGACAGACAGGGGTGCGTGGGGAAGAGTGGGCTCACTTTTTCTCTCAGTGGCTGTGCCAGGAGAAACTAAAAGCCGCTTCTCATAGACAGATGGGGGCATGGAGGCATTGGTCCTGCATCTGGCCGAGGACAGAGAGGTGCCAGGAAATCTCTGGGGTCCTCTCAGAATTCTGGCAGTCCTTTGCCCAAAGGGCTGGAAGATGTGAAGTCGCTCCACTGTTTGTAGTTGGCAGACTCCTTTCCACCTCCAAGTATGGCCATGACCTTGGGGGCTTGGCCCTAGGAGCTTTTCCAGGTATTTTCCAGTTACAAACCCACGTGGACAAAGACAGGTTTTCTCGAATTTCGCCTTTTCCAGATTGAGAGGGGACTTCTTCACCTCTTTCCACCCTGGAGATGGGGACGAGGACTCCCAGGGGGAGGGGCACTCTGCCTTCCCTTCGGGTTGGGCACGGGTCCCTCCCCGCCCGCGGGCCCCCGCCTCTTCTCCGCCCCCTCCCCTTCCCGGCACCTACCTTCCCCAGCGAGCAGGTGGCACCGACTGAGGACGCCGGGGAGGGCAGGAGCATCTCTGCCCGGCTCCTGCCTGGTGCGGCCGCGGCGAGCCCTCGAGAAGGTAGGGCAGGGAGAAGTCCGGGCTGTGCCGCTCGCCCTCGTGACCGGGTCAGGACGGGCTCCGCGAGGCAGGGCGCGGGAGGAGGAAGAGGGAGATCGACGGGGCGGAGGGCACGCGCAGGGAGGGAGGACCGCGAGAGGCGCGCGGGCGGGCGGCGCAGTTTGTCTCCTTCCAATCTGTGCTGTGGGCCGCGCGGGTAGGGTGGAGGGGCCGGCGACTCCCTCTCCAGCCTGCGGGGCGGGGGCTCGGGCCGGCCGGCTGGGGCGTGCGAGTGCCCTCCGTCGGGCCGCGCCGCGGGGACGAAGTGGCCCCCTGCCGAGGGGGCCGGGCCGGCCGCGGGCGGCGCCGGGAGGGGCCGGCGAGGGTCCCTGGGGAGCTCGCTCTGGTTTCCCAGCTGCCTTCTCCGGCCCCCACCGCAGGGCTGGCGTCCGAGCGGGGGGTGCGTGTGTTGGGGGGTGGTGGCGAGCGCCACTCAGAGTTTCCAGCGACATTTCCAACGTGTGGGAAGGGAGCCCTGCATGGCGGAGCCAGGACAGAGGGCAGGAATGATTAAAGATCCCGGGTCAAGCCAGCAACTGATACCGGACCGGCAGCCTCGCAGACAGGACCGAGATGCAGACAGGCTGGGGCCGAGATAAGGGCACCGCAACAAGTAGGGTGGCTCAGCGGACCGAGTTAAGGTCCCGCCGGCTCCTTCCCCACTTGGGGAGATTTTGTGCTTTCGTAAGCGCGCGTCCGGGCGTGTGCAAACACACGCACACAGATGCGCGTGCACCAGCAAATGGGCGGATGCTCACACGTGCAAGCACCGATGAGGGCAGCCCGGGGAGGAAATCGGCCTTAGGGAGCGGCCCCCTGGGCGTGCCGCGCCCCTGAAGAGGATGAGGGCGGGGTCCCTTTGGCGGGGATGGGGTTACCAGGGTCTTGGTGTTCCCATACACCGTGTTTGTTTTGATCTTGCTGCTTTTCCGCTGTTCCCGCTGCTCTGACACCAGTCTCAAGCCTGCGCCCATTGGCTCCCAACCCCTCTGGCCATCCCGTCTTTCCCTTCTCCTCCAAGCCTCTGTGTCTGCACAGAGCATGTTACAGAATGTGAAGGTGTTTAACGAATGTTTACTGGTAATGGAAAAACTGGAGTACTTCTTAGCCCTTGGCTTGGTTCTGGGACCCAAGCCCCAAACCAACCAAATAGCAAGTAGTTATCGGGCAATTTCACATCCATCTGGGGAGTGATCAATGATAAATTATAAAAATATGAAAACATTTATTGCATGCCTACTGGGTGTAAGACTGGTGTCCTGAGACCACCATTGCACTTTAGGGTGTTTTCCAACAACATCATTCAACTCAAAAGTGGAGAAGGAAGGGAATGGAGAAAAGATGAAAAAAATTTTTTTTAATTCCACCATTATTGATGCTATTAGCTTTATCTTTTCTCAATTCAGTTAAAAGAGCTCTCCCCGTGTGGTGAACCAGCTTGAAACGATATCACATGTGAAAGAGGAAGGCGGCATGTTTAGACTGTGCAGAAGCTTGAGAGACAGGCATGCTGGCTAGCGTCCCCTATCTGCAGGGCTGCCATGTAGAAACGGAATGGCTGCACTAGCAGAAGTGGGACCCTTGGGTGCATACTTGGAAGCAGATCCAAGATTTCCAAGGAAGAACTTCAAGGAGGATTACAGGGGTTCCAAGCCTACCGATCATCGGGCATCTCTCTAAAAGTAAGGACTGCATTGAGAAGGGAGCTGAATGAGGTCACCTTTAAAGCCCCTTCCAAGAATCTCTGATTCTCCAGGAAAGCTGAAGGATGGGATGGGTAGCCCCGACCCACAGAAGACAGCTGCAGAAAGGACTGTAGGCATTCTGGGACTTCTTGAGGACAGGCAGCAGTGCATTGTCCTACCCCTAAAGCTTGGATACTTACCTACCCACCCCTCAGCACCATCCTCCTCCCTCCCTCAGGGATAAAATATATGCCCGCTTCCTTGTCACCAGTTTTTTTTCCCACCTGTCAGAATCCTTGCGACTAAGATGGGCCACATCTCTTTCATGTTCATCCTTGCTCTCCAAAGATGGTGAAGCTGAAGATCTTCCAATTCCAGGAATCCTGGCCATACCCTCTCTCACCAGCAGCGAGCGTCTCTTATTCTCTAGGGCTCTGACCTGGACTCCAAGATAAATATTTAATGTAGAGGGTGCAGCTGAGCTGACAAAGGTCCTTACTTCCTGTTTCTCACAGAGGGAGGTAGCAGCCAGGGGTGAGGAGCTGGGGACTGGCTACCAGTTTCATCTCTATGGGAATAGGGAGTCCAGTAAACAGCTTTGTAGGAG